CTCCTCACGGGATCTCTCCTCACGGGAGCTCTCCTCACGGGATCTCTCCTCACGGGAGCTCTCCTCACGGGATCTCTCCTCACGGGATCTCTCCTCACGGGAGCTCTCCTCACGGGAGCGCGCACATTAGCCCAAGGGCACCAGCAGTCGATCCTGACATCATTTGGATTCGGCCTGCTGATGGATTAACTGGCGTGGTTTTCCCCAGTGTCTCCGGAGGATTAACATGTTTCGCAAAGTGATTCTCACGCCAACCGCGCTCTAGGGATGGCGGTAAATTACTTGACGAAAAAGGGATGCTCCCGCAGCCGGAGGCAGTTTGTGGAACAGAGAGTATTTTAACAGCTGCTTCGGAGAAAACAGAGACGCACTTCCATTTAGACGGGGTACGTGGATTGCTCTGTTAATATAACGCAATCCAAACGTTTAAACAACAAAATAAAACAGAGCCATTAGGCCTCGGAATGGGCAATGGCCGCTTAAGCGGCCGGACCGCGACTTTCATGTAGGGAGTCCTGTTTACACTGGGGCTTAAGCCCTGCATTAGTGTCCCTTAAAGGTGGGGGCCCAGCACTTTGGGGAGGGCTTTCACAACCTGTCTGCCTGTGCTGGCCCCCATTAACAAGAACCTGTGGCATGGAGATGGGCAGAAAGTATGTAAAAGGTGCTGCAGGCAGGGACTCGCGTCCAGCCACCAGGCCCCATCCCAAGTGGGGTGAAGCAATCGCTCACCTGTGCCTGAGCGCAGAGTAGAGAGCGGACACTGCCCTCTACAGGCAGCTCCAGGTGTGGCAGCCGCTGACTCACCCCCCCAGTTTCTCTACGAGACCGCATTACTTACAGGGGGTGGTCACCCACAACAGATTTACAGACCTCTCACTGTTTTTAATACACTGGATATTAAGGGTCTTTTTCACCAAAGGTATAGCAGACATTTCACACCTGGGATTTGAACCATCAAGCCTCCGGTGCTAGTTTAAGCTTCTTACCCTTAATGCCCCCCACTGTCGTGAGTTCCAGTGAGGAAGGAGTATCACTGTCACACAGGACGTCTCCCCCTCCAGGCATTGCTTGGGACAACAGCTTCACTATGCATGCCTACAAAACGGGGGGGGGGGGGTGGGCAGGACAGGTCCATCAATTAGCTACACCATGATGAATAAAAACCAAATTAAGTATTAAGTACGCAAACTCCCCCCCCCCCCCATCCCACTTAGTTACTACAATCCTATACACAGTACATGGTCTTGGGGCGTCACTGCTCTTTTTAGGTATAGCCCAGGGGACACAGGTGACACCAGTCCTTAGGTACACAGTGGGGCCACCTTAAGCATTTTATTTGCTCCCCGGAATCCAGCGGCTAAACCGGTCGGTTTTTATCAGAGTTCTCGGCCTATTGGATAGCGTTAGCCCGCGCGCTAACAGTCAGAGCTGTCCCACTGGAATTAGCCATGGAGCTTGTTATACGTGTTAATGGAGACGAGCCAGTTCGCTGGCTTACCCCGCTTGCTGAACACTCCCTGGGCTCTCACTCACGTTGGTTATTTTCCTCGTAAATTAAGCTCAAATGAGACGAGAAGTGACAAGAGCGCGCTCGGTGGAGAGAGAGAGAGAGAGAGAGAGAGAGAGAGGTCAGAGCCAAGTTTCCACATTATCTAATGTATCCTTGAGGAGCAAGACAGAAGCAGAGCCAGGGAGACGTGCTGAAAAGACCAGCATGGCGTGGGGGACAGGAAGCGTCCGTCTCAGTCAGTCAGGGTCCATGGGGGACAGGAAGCGTCCGTCTCAGTCAGTCAGGGTCCATGGGGGACAGGAAGCGTCCGTCTCAGTCAGTCAGGGTCCATGGGGGACAGGAAGCGTCCGTCTCAGTCAGTCAGGGCCCATGGGGGACAGGAAGTCTTCCATGTTCGAGGAGATGTTCTCTGGTGACCTTTTCACGTTTTCCTCACTTACATGGCTAGACAAGGAGATGAACTGTGTTGGACTCTAATCCAGCAAAAAGAAAAAAAATGGAAAATAAAATTAGAGGATGATCCAATCCATAATGCACGGCGCTATATCTGGTCAGTGTCACAAGGCCACTGACTGAGTAGAACTGGCCCGCAGAATGACACAGCGCTTCTCAGAGGTGATAGCAAGCGACTTACCCACTGCTGATGGAGTCTTTGTAATTCTTCATCACATGACACAGGCTGAGCCTTGCCAGTAGGCGGGGTCTGTTCACGGTGAACCTGGAAATGAGCCCCTTCTGGGATAGACTTGGATGGGGACCTCCTCCATAAACAGCTGTGGTCCCTTGAGGGTCGCTGAGAAAGTACTGGTTTCCAGCACATCCCGCTACACCCATTAATGGACGGGAAACTCTTTTGACATCATAACACCCCGCCCACTTCCCAGACACCACCTGCCCAAGAATCCCTCTCCCATACGTGAAGGAGTTACTTACAATGTTCAGAAATGCCAGGTGTCTGATTAAAAAAAAAAAGCCAGAAATAATGGAAAATGTGGGACTCTTAAAGGACGTTTTAATATTTTTTACATTTTTACAGTCTGTTCCAGATTTTTCACGCTGGTCCTAAGTGCTGCGGTACATGTGCCATGGGCATGGAGTATTTTCTTTGCCACTCGGCCAAAACTCGTAGCCAGGGCGACATGCACTTTTGCCCATAGACACCTGCTCTTTTTGCTGCCGCTGCTCTGGAGAAGGAGCCCCTATGAGAAGGATAGCCGAAGGCCTGCAGAGAGAGAGCCGAAGGCCTGCAGAGAGAGAGCCAAAGGCCTGCAGAAAGGCATGCAGGGAACTGCTGGCCCTGATGCTGACAACACTTTCAGGGCACTTTTAGGGACAACCTACCCCCCCCGTAATCCCCCCCCCCCCCCCACATCTTCTCCACTGGTCCTTCAGGCTCTTTCCCTGCTTAGCTCTTAGCTGCATGATTAAGCCAATTGTTCCTTTAATTGAAGGAGCTTTAAACCCCCCCCCCTCCCCCAGTGATTTAAAGGCTTCTGTAATACCTGCTAAACCGGCGCCCCCAAGCTGGACAGCAGGGGTCAGATTCATTTCATGCACCGGGAATCAGCTGAAGGTGCTGTTAGCGCAGTTGTGGAGAGCGCAGTTGTGGCGAGCGCAGTTGGGGCGAGCGCAGTTGGGGCGAGCGCAGTTGTGGAGAGCTCAGTTCTGGAGAGCGCAGTTGGGGCGAGCGCAGTTGTGGCGAGCGCAGTTGTGGAGAGCGCAGTTGGGGCGAGCGCAGTTGTGGCGAGCGCAGTTGTGGCGAGCGCAGTCCCCGCCAGGGATTCCCCTGGGCTCCTGCACCAGCAGCGTCCAGCAGGGCCCGACTCCCGGTCCAGGCACCCATGACCGGTACAGTCCCCGGTGGCTGCGGATATCAGCCGGGCGGCACCATCTTTTACAGACGGGTCATCAGGCTTTGCCGGATTGTGAAGCTTCTGCTTAACAGAATCGAGGCTGAGCTGGGCCGGCTTAAAGGGATGGACAACAGGTTTGTCTCCACGCCGATGCCGTGGGGCGGCGAACGCAGCGAGGCGGACAGGGGGAGCGAGCCGCATCCTACCTGAAGGAGCCGTCTGTTTGGGCCTGGCACCAGAACCAGGCCGGTGTGCATGTCACTGACGTTCCTCCAGGTCCAAGTGCACAGCAGAGCCTCTTAATGCTGTAATGGCTGAGATGATGCAAAATTTTCACAGCTGCTTTCTGCCACATCAGGTGAAAAGTGGTATTAGGCTTGATTTTGGTGTTGGGGAGCCCTGAGCCCTGAGCCCTGAGCCCTGAGCCCATACCAGGGCCATCACCTGCTGCGCAGAGGCTGAGATGGTTAGGGCCATGACCTGGTGTGAACTGTGAACCAGGATAGGTGGTCTGAGTCTAGTGTGTGTGGAGCGGGGGGAGCATTACACAGCAGAAAACCTTTCGTTTGTGAGGGGGAGGGGGTCAGACATATCGCTTGGGCTAATCAGGTTCCTCTCCAGCTTCCTGAACCTTTATCATGATAAGACCTTGTCCCGTCCAGCTGGGACCTGAAGATTCAGGGGTTTACAACCTGCAGCCCGTCAATAAATGTCAATATCTGTCCGCCTCACAGGTTTCCTGTTCCCAGGCAGAATGTGTTTATGCACCCCAACTCCAACCTTTATCAGCAGGACAAACGTGTCCCCTAACTTGCTGTGACAAATGAAGAGCACACATCCTCATGGCTCTGCAGATGCAAACAGGCAGGAGGCTGTCCTCGTCGGGGAGGGGACTTAGCTAGCGAAGGCGTCGTGGCGGGGGCTTTCAGGGGGGGCTGGCTGCCCTTTCCCTTGCTCTGTTGGTACTTGGCAGGCAGGGTTAGGGTTTGGAGAAGCTGCCTATTTGCAGTCCAAAGCAGTGATGACTGTTTCATGGCTGTGGAGCGGAGGCTGCCTGTCGCTGGCCAGAACCGGTCGCACTCTCGCGGCCCGTCTGCCGGCGGGATCTCCTCTGTTCTCACCTTCCTGGGCTTCGTTGTGTCGCTTTTACAAGATTGTTCTTTTCACTCTGCACTACCTTTAAATTTGACTTCATTTGTTTTGGTTCAAAATATGGTTGAGACTCAAGGTCGGAGCAGTTCATTTGAGCCTCTTTCTCCTGTGAAGAGGATGATGTAGCAAAATAGAGAGAGATTAGTAGTCAGGAAGCCGGGAGCCAAAGGGCCAGGTTGCCTGCTGCACTTGAATCTCTTGCTCCACATCACTTAGACATGAATCAGCGGATCAACCAATGAGTAAGACAGACTTCAGTGATGTCATGAAGTCTCTAGGCTATGAATAGGGCTGCACTCCACATATGTCAGCCGCATAAAGTGCTGAAACCTGACCATGTTTATATTGTTCTTTTAAAATAATATTCATATAAATTATATCACAGATACCAGATATTCATCAGAACATTTCCCTGTAGAGATACAAATTCATCTTTTCAGGAGGCTGAGTAATTCTTATATACAAATTTAACAGGCCATGTTTCCACACGAACTATCGCTGCAATAGAGCATACAGATAGAATTTGAACTTATCTTATGGATTGTTTAGTATTGCTCATATCCAATAAACCAGCGGGCTCTGCTCAAGCCCAAGGCATTTATTGCAGTTAGATTCCCAGCAGTTTAAGCACGGAACGCTGGGCTTATCAGCTGCTCCGTAGGACTGAGAATATTTCAGGAATGTAACCTCGACTTACCAGGTCCTAGTGCATTCTTCACAGCGCGCGGCCCCGTCCCCTCGTGCCGGTCACGTAACCCGCAGTACAAAGGGCTGCGCGCGAAACTTTGAAAGCTTCTTGGCTTAATATTTTATCCCACTACATAAAATAAGTGCGCACAAAAAGCTTTACATTATCTTTGTTTCGTCTATATGCGGTACAACATGCTTTAAGTCCTTCTTTCACCCACTAGTGGGACTAATCATATATAATAACCACTAGCTCAACAATGGAATTTATGTACGTATAATCAGAAACTTTTCAAAGTTGGCATACTGTTTTAAATGGCTTTGGGAATGTCCGTTTGGCCATTGGACCTGTAGACTAACCACTACATATATAGTTTAACAAACTACATAAAAACAGTTCTACTAAATTACTCCCAATGCCCGCTTCTAAAAATGAAATAATTTCAAGCCATATGAATTAATATGCATTCAATTGCATTCTATTATTTTCCTAATACACGAATGTCGATCATTTTTTTAAATGAAAATAGTAGGAAGCATCAGAAACCCGCAGAGACGCGCCCGACCAGGAAATGAGCTCGGTATCCCTGCTCTGCTTGTATTGCCGTACTGTAGCGTATTGACTGGCATGCAGCGCCATCTTACGGCGAAAGTTTGAAACTGTAGTTGGCAACTATACAGAAAGTAGGTACCGCAACTTGACGATGTCGCACGTTCTTGTGGAAAACGTTTTATTTTCGAACAGGTGACTATGTATTATGAACAAGTAAATGCAGGAAATAGTTCAACGCCCTTAAATTTGTAAAGGTTAACATTTTCAAAGCTATATTTTCAAGACCATGAATAATATACGAATAAAACATTGTTTTAGATTGCTACGAATTAATATATCCTCCCACAAATCTAACCGCTTAATCAAAAGGGGTAATTAAAGGATTTGGCTTTGGCTGATGGTCTACATTGTTATATTGCTGTTTAAGTTCACACTTATATTAAGAGCAGTAATTTCTCATGGGAATTGGCCAAGTTCAATTTACAACATGTATTCTAAGCTATTAAATCTGTTACTCTTAAAATTAACCTACAGGTTATTAAAAATAAATATTTTAATGATTCAATTTTTTTTCTTAAAACATAAAATAATTACATTTTGTTGTATCTTATTGAAATCTTTCACTTTTAATTTTAATGATTTACTTGGAACAATGCTAAATGTACCCAAATTATTAATTTGTCAAGTTCTTTAGTATCTTATATACTTTGGAATATATTTTGCTTGATTAATTGCTTAACAGGTAGATGCAGTTCAAGTGTCCAAGTGCAACCATCCGTCCTCCATTCAGAAAGATTCTTAGTCTCTGGTTAGTCTCTGTGCCATCACACTCCCGTGGGGCCAGTTTACATACAAACTTTGCCACCCCCCACCCCGCCCCCCGCCCAGGCATGAGGAGGAACCGTTATACCCTGAACCCCCTCCCCCCCCCACACACACACACACACACACACACGCAATCGCCACGTTTCTGAGTCTCATGATAAATCAGCCCGGAGAGTGATCCTGTAAGACGAGACGCCCATTCGGTGGTATCAGCACACGACCCGACCGAAAGAAACGGAGAAGAGGCAGGCAGTAAATCAACCAAATCCTTAGATAGCGCTGCTTTGCGCAGGCACTACCGCGTCCTTTGATCGAATCGCCGGGGAGTGGGTTTTGCGTGTCGCTGCCATAGGTCAGCTATATATCACACTCCTAAAAGCCATTACCCAAGATTTTTAACTGAAACCATCGCTCTTCCAGGCAATGTCATAATCCCCCTTCATCGGTATGTGGAGCGTCCCGCACCATCCCGGCGGTGAGCCGCCTTCTCCGTTCCGGTTCTCTGTGGGCTGCGGGTCAGAGCCCCAGACTGGGACACATGTGCCGTCAGATTGCAACTGTGCATCCGGGGGCGAACACCATCCGCAAGTGTCAGAAAATATTAAGGCGCTGGTACTTCAAAGGCAGGACCTTAAAGAAGGTCGGCAAAAACTGCAGAGGCTTACTGCGGAACATGCTGAACTGCGCCTCTACGTTTCATTTCGTCTCCGCTTCATCCTAAAGGCCGTTCGATCTGCTTCTCCAGATGAGAAGCAAGAAATAACGGGGACAACGTAAGAAGCAGTTATACATTCCCATAACTAACACAAACAGGAAATATGGCTGTGCTTCTGTGATAACGTGTTTATATAGACCTCAAAGTAGCTTCAAAGAAAAAAAAAGCATAATGCTGACATCCACAAATAGTTTACAGTTATTAGTGGTTGGTGTGATAGTGTGAAGGTGGACCTTTCCAGGCAAGGATTGCGTTATGACTCTGAGCTAAGAACTTGACCCGAGATTTGATTAGTAATCCATTTGTAATGACTGGGAATAGTACAAATCACTTTGGATTATAGCGTCGGCTAAGCAACAAAGTAAAACTTGAGAAGAACCACCTTGCGGCCGTGTCAACGCCGCGTACCTACAGGACACCCGGCCAGTATGAGCTAAACAAGAATAATGTGAAGTCATGCTCTATGAAACTTTATACACGTTTTCTGGTCATTACCTAAGATTGCTTTGTGTTAACTTTGGCAGACCCCGGCTTGGCTCTGAAATTAAAAGGGATGATGTATTTCCTCCTATTTATTGTTTGCACTGGGCTACTGAAGGAAAAATGAGAGACGTACGCCTGTGACTGGACGGCGGATGCCAGGAAAAACACCGGTGCCTCATTAGCTTATGGAAAACAGGTCCCACATGGCACCACGGGGTGTAAATACATTAAACCATCTCAGACCGCTGCTGTCCGGTGCCAGTTTTTCCCCTCTTTTTCTTCTGAGAAAATCGCATAAGTCGAGAGTGTTGATTTCCTTCTCTTGCACATCTCATAAATTCGATGAATAAATTCAAGGCGACTTTTACATTTGATATACATATGAATAGTAAATACAGTAAAATAATGGTATTTCTTGTAAGCTTTGAGAAGAAATAATCTAAAATGATCGTGGAATATAAAAATGCACGTGTTCTTGTCTTATGTTGTCCTAAGCGCTATAAAGCTGTACATTTAAAATGCACTTATTACATGCATTCATGTAAAATTAAGTTCATGGTTTTATTTTCATTTATGCGGATACTGACAGGTAGTTAAAATGTAAAGATGCAGGTTTGGGCGGTAGTGTTACATTTTGAAATATATCGTTGGCTATAATTTATTTTGAAACCACATAGAAAACTGAAGGTGATAGGGCAAAACCTGAAAAAAAATCCATATTCATTCTTTATTTATGTCAAAGATATACATGTTTTATTTATTCTGAAAATAAGATTTATTTTAAGTGAACATCATTAATTAAGCCCGTATACAGAATACCTGCAGCAGCGGCACGTAGGCAACTAGCCTACTGCATGTATAGTTGTCGTGGTGCAGTCGTTAAGATGATGGACTGTATGAAGTATATACAGTATAAAGTATGGACTATAAGTCCTTTGCGGTCTTCCCGCGCAGGCTATGGTCCTCCTAGGTTCCTCATTGATGGAAAAACGAATCTGCAGAACTTCGTATGCGCCTGCAGCGTCCAGTGAGGCAAAACTGTGATTGCTGTTAATGTAGCCAAAACAGGTAGTTCTTTTATGTAACCAGAAGACATGTGTTTTCTTTTCGAATTATAATTTCGATGGGGAAAAGTGAATTAAGAGAGATACATTTACGAACAAAGTTGGGACGTAGAGCGCGTGTTTTCCTCATATTTCTCGATCATGCGCAATAACGTCGTCTCCTAGCAACGAATAACTGATTGCAGCTAACCTAGCAACGAGCATCCACCAAAACATGGCGGACGATTTAGATGATTTGTTAGACGAGGTGGAATTAAGGTTTTGCCGTAATGTTTCCGAAACTTCAGTGACCTCTTCTACTTCTAAAGAGGACAGAGATCACTCATCTGGGAGCAAAAAGAAATCAGAGAGGAAAAGCGGAACGAACGGGTACCGTTTTTGCTGGCTAGCATGGCTAGCTTAGCATGGCTAGCTTAGCATTAACTCCATGTCCAGCAGCCTTGGTGGCTAGGTGGTTGTGGTAACTGCTGGGTAGTACCCGTTCGGCAACATATTGCAGGAGTTATTTTGTACTTTCTTCAGTTCTGGTGTTGTCCTGAAGTTAGATAGCTCGCCGGCTAGTTAGGCTAGTGCGTAACCAAAGCTAACAGCGGGTAGCAGCTGTAACAGCTGCGCCGGTCCCTTCGTGCATTGTGGCCAGCTAGATGGGCGCGTGCTTTTCTTTGTTTTTAAAGAACTTCTAACACTGTACTCGCATTTGTAATTATACTTGGCTGTTTACACCTCGCTAAAATACAGATTGTAGTAGTGGAAATCTGTATTCTCGTGGATGGCTAATAAGTTTGTAATAAGCAGCTGTAACCTTTGCGGATTCTGCTGAACTGCATTTAGCTTCAGGCTTTTGGATTAAAGTATTTCTGCCTGGGTCGTGATTTACCATTTCATTGTAATGGTTATAATTATTTTCTTTTTAGGCCAGTGGTCATAAATTAAATAAAGTTACTAAAAAGTTAATGAAGGTGGTGATCCTTTGAAGTATTTTTCTCCAATCGTTTCTTTTCAGTTCCGGTAAATCAGGCTTGTCAAAAGGAAGTGCCGAGGAAGAAGATATAGACGCGTTCCTAGATGACATATTGGACAACGACTTCGATTCCCTCCGTTTAGATGTAAGGGGCGTGTTAATGAAACTATATAAAACGTGACCCTCACACCCGATAGGCATGTCTTTAGTAACTTCCGTGTCACTGTCGCCCCCATGACAGCCTATAATAGTGTTGTACACACGATAAGATTAAGGCCGACTTTATTTATTCTCCTTGAAACGCTCATCTTTCATGCTTAGTGCTGCCCCATCTCAGCGCCTGTCAGATAACTGGCATCTTGAAGCTGTCCAGGGAGTGTGTCAGGCAGGTTAGGCAGGAGAGATTGTGCCTCTCATCCTGTGCCTCTATATCTGCTAACTGAACAGGAGCCAAAAGTGGCCAGGCACGACACGAAGAATTCACCGCTTTCTCCAGCAGATAGAAAGTAAGGGCAGCACTGCATTGTGGTGTTTAATTAGCTCACTTCTCTGATGTACCAGGAGCTGAATGTTTGAGTGGTGTGGTGCAGTCGACCCTCACAGTCCCCCAGTGCCCCCCTCCCCCTTCACACTCCCTGTGTTTTTCATTGGCAGCCATTTTCTTTTTCAGCTGGATGACTTAATGATTCCCTGCTGTTGTCCCACACTCTTAGATGCTGTCCTGTCTTCTTGGGTGGAAGCTCAGTAGAAACCGGCCTGGGAACCAGTACTTCTCAAAGGTATGTGCAGGTGGACAGCCGAGAAGGCAACGGGAAAGTGCCATCAGAGACACGCCCTGTGTCATTAGTGACAGCACTCACTCCCTGTCAGTGCCCTTTGTGTTGAAAACACTATAGCTTTTCTAGCCCATCTTGAGCATGGCAGATTAACATTTTCCACCAGTCAATCATGTGTTTCAACTTTGTTTTTCTAAATGCTGTCAGTGATACATCGTATTTGCGATGGTCTCCCAGATCCCTCTTGTGTGAACGGGCAGTATTTACACCATTGCACTTGTTGTAGCCAAATTTGAGGAAAGCTATAGTCACACTGCTGGGACTCGACACACAAGGCTGGTAATATACACTGTTGACACAGCTGTTAGTCCACTGAAATGGTAATATTCTTATATTTCTGAACACATCTGGGTACAGCGACATCACATGCACTAGAGCAGTTAAATATCTGCAGTGCAATATGAGAGTCTGAGGCGCTGAGGGAAGTCTCTGGATCTGCTTTATGAACGGCTCTTTTAGCCGAAGCAGGCGGCGTTCTGACTTGTGTCTATCCAAACCGCGAAGTTATCCAGCCGGCTGCCTTTCCGTTAAGGGCATCTTAAGGGCACCGCACTGGGTGCAGCTGGCGTAGGGTGAGCGGGTGCAGAACAAGCCCAGTTTCTTAATAACAGAGGTTTAAGGTTGATGATATTAGTGTAACCATGTCTCCCCATGTGGCTAGCTTTCTTCTGCAGTCAGACTGCTTGTTCTCATCACTTGCTCTGTAGGGTTGTCTTATTTGTAATTAAAAAGGGATCCGTTGGGTTCTGAAATCAGCGTTGGGGAGAGAAACTGAGAATGTGGAACGTAGGAAAATACACAAATCTGTGGAATAACACATTGCATCACTGGCCGCTCTCTCTGGCCTGTACTCAAATGTATTGAACCCTTCGCTCCGAATTCTCCAAGGCTGCTGCAGCCAGTAACACAGAGGCGATTGATGTGAGCCGTTAAACTGCACACGGGCGAGATGGCTGAGGTGGTAACGGGCTCCCCAGCAGTACCGTATATCAGCGCTCTGTCACCTGGATGATGTCATGCCAGGTCCTCTGGCTAAGTAAACACGCCGTCCACACGCAGAAGCTTGACGTGCGTTTGGTCCCTGCTCCCGGGCTGCTCGCTGGGAGGGAACACGGGGGTTAAGACTTTAAAAGCCTCAGCAGCAGGCGATTAAGTGTTTGCAGTCCATCATTCCAGCGGCCGAAACGGTCTCTCAGTTGGCTTGAGCCACGGAGCAGAGCTCAGTCTAGTAACATATATACTTCCGTAGACGTGATCCGTAGTTGGCTTCTTGAAGCGGAGCCCCCAACGAGCGACCAGCATTACCAGGCCGCATTGTGTGCCTTTGCGGTTGGACCTGTTAATCGGGTATTTCGGGGAGTTGGAGAGCGATCAGAAAACCCCCAGCACGCACACTCGCTGGAAAAGGGGTCACTGGTGTTTATCTTTTTATGATCTCTCACTCTATGTCAGGAACGAACTGTTATTTTAAGGGCCGAGAACCAGCAGAGAGGCTGTTATTAAGGCAGTGACTGAGCCTGGGAGCGAGGTGGGGGATGGGACATTCGCACCTCTTGTAGTGCTGCAGCAGCATAATTTTAATGCACCGTCACAATGTCCCTGGGGTTACCATGCAGAGCTTCTCGTTGTCTACGGTTTTTTCCCCTCTTCACACTCCCTTTGTGTTTATGTGGTACCAGAGGGTCTTTTATTAGCATTTCTGAATAACAGTGTGGGGGCAGCGTGTGGCTCAGTGGGCTAAGCCTCTGTGCCTGTGATCAGAAGGGTCTTTGGTTCGAACCAGGCCCTCTATGGGAGAGCTACAGAGAGAAAGCTGGGGGATGTGTACAGAGAATTTCAGTAAATGTGTAATCATTCATTTAATGATGTGTGCTCTGTGTGTTTAGTGGATGTTTAGTGGATGTAAACTCAAGGTTTAAAACGGATGTATAAGCGCGCTTTGCCTGTTTTTCGAATTTGTTTCAAACAAAGTTGTGAATTTTGCTTACAGGGCTTGCAACCAGTTGCGCTGCACTTCCTGCGATTTCCGTGTGACCATGTTTGACGATTATGAGTGGGACCCTTCCTGTGATTACCTCTTCTTCAGGTAAGGTGCTGCTGCACCGGACACAGGAGTGCGTGACTGCAGGATGTCTTATCCCCTTTGGTCATAAGGGGGCAGTGTTAGTCCTTCTTTGGCAGGGCCTGTGGAAAGACGGGAGAAAACACACGTGAGAGTCATCAGGAGCCCTGTGCCTCAGTTCAGTAAATCTGTTATGCTTGGTGTTCATTTTCAGCAGCTATTTTCTCTGAGTATAAGGGCAGCTGAAATGCAAACCAGTTTTCTACTGCCTGCAGCTAATGGACAATAGTTCATAAACAAAATGTTGTAGTTCATAAATGAAATATGCAGACTTTTTGACACCATTTTTGGGGCCTAGCAGCTGATAGCTGTTACTTTCTTTTGGGGACATTTTTGAAAGGGAGGGCAGGACAATAATGCCATGCCGGGAGCCCAAGACAGCAGGGACATGTAGCCGAAACATTCAAATGTTACGTTAATTTTAAACAAGTACTCAGATCCTCATTGATACACATGATAGGGCACGAGTATCTGTCCAGGATAACTGGGCACATGACCGGAGAGACTCTGAACGGGATTGCAGTTTATCTCAGGGCACACAAATGCAGACACTGTGCATTCATTTAGTCGTCTATATTTCACGCATATTTTTTTTGGAAGTTATGTGGCAAGAAGCTGTCGTTTGATTAGCGTCTAAATATAAGGAAACTCTTTTGCTCATAACATCATCCTGTGTAAACGCTGGATATTGTAGCGTGTGAAAATCCCACCACATTAGACACCAACAACAAATGACATTAAAAATCAGTTCAGTCAGGTGTCTAAGCTGTTCTATCACTTAATGGAACAGTAAGAGACGCTCTTGAGCAGGGAAGTTAGGAGAATCTTAAGACATCTGGGGACCAGCCCAGAGACCTAATCTTTCTGAAGGTTTGAGAACTGAGAATATGGCAGTTAGAACATGAGCTAAACAAATCATTCAAGGCCCGTTCAGATTCATTCAGAGCTTCAGGCCTGAATCCTCGGACTCGTCACACATTTGCTTTGACCCTTCATGTATGCTGTAGGTGTTCGGTTGGTATCATTTGAGTCGATTTGAGAGGCAGGCTGGCTGCAAACAGGTGAACCTAATATACTGGCCACGTATTACAGATAGCGTGTTATTGATGAATTATACACGGTGATGTTGAGAATATCTAGTATATAAAATGAGAGATTATGAAGGTCTTTTAATGATCTTTATGCATTCAGAAACATTAACTTTATCTTGCAGAGGAGATTATGCCCTTAGCTGTGTACTGTGGTGTTTTCTTACTTGTGCTTAGGGTTCAGTAGAAAAGCAAACTTCATCCCAAGACTGAATCATAAAGATCGTCCGAGTTTCAACTTTAATACACAAATTATATGAAATCGTACCGACGTCTGAGTACTGAAGCCCAATATAGTTATGATATTTCGCAATGAAACATACCTGAAAGTCTCCTGGCACTGGCATGAGTAATGAGGAGTATAAAACTTTTTGCAAAATTTCCATGGCAGTGTTGCAATATCTTGTAAAGTGCATAACACCTTCTCAATAGAATTCTTTGAAAAATGTTTCATTTTTGTTGTAACCATGGCACCAGCTTTTGAACGTGGAGGACGATGAATGTGACGGGTTCCGTTTCACATTTTGATCTGACAATTGTTTGTTGCACCCCTGCTGTCTTAAGTCATTTTCCATCCATCTCAGGTTCAGTGTTGGCTGAGCAGTTGTCTGTTGCACAAATTACGTGCAAATGCATGCAATCAACTTGGGTAATTCCTCTTTGTGGGCTTGTAGCAAGCCTACAGTCAACATGGTGTAATGACAATTTTCTCCTATTGTGTGAAGAAAATAGCTTCTGCGCTTTTAAGTGTAATTCAAATGTCCTGGCTCTTATGTCCAATCCAAGGTGATCACAAAGCGACTTCAAGCCACTGTGAGCATCAGACTGTTTAATTTATCTGACAGTGGGTCGAAAATTACATTGACCTATTGGGGGGGCATGTCTGAGGTTTCTTTCAAACTTCAAAGTCCCTGTCACTGGTGCTGGGTGAAGTGATTTGGCCATGCAGTGTGTACAAGCAATATCTGAAAATCATTCTGCATGTGTGCACTTCTGTTTTAATGTTCCAACTGGCTGAATTGACTCTCATTTATATTTTATATTATCTACTTAGTAAGCTAAGGCAATTAACTAGATGTAATTATCCTTAAGGCACGTTCCGGGCAGCCGGCTGTGCTGCTAGTCCCAAATGATATTTGGAATCATTCACCCCGCTGTGCCAAACCCCCCCCCCCACCCCCCCAGCAGAAGAAAAGCGGACCTGGTGTTTGAAATGAAATTCGGTTTTAGTCCCACCTTTACAGAACTCATTTCCCCCCCCAAAGCTATAATTTACACCCAGAGACTGATTTGCCAGCATGAGTGAAGCCAGCAGCTTGGAGGGTCATGTTCGGCTGGGGGTGGGATGCTGGCTCGCCGGGGGGGGGGGCCGCAGATTTGACAGCCGCGCTGTCGGTCTCCGCCCCGCAGGAACAACATGCCCAGCCGTGAGCGGCTGCACTGCAAGCTGAGGAGGAGGAGGGGGGCGCGGGCGTACGCCTGCCAGTGCAGCTGGCGCTCGGCACTGCGCCTCACACACCTGAGGGACGAAGCCCGTCTGAAGTGGGTCTGCGGGAAGCACCCGGGCTGAAGGTCCGGCTCCGCCAGCTGCCATCCCCATCTGTTTCTTGGTATTTTTGCTAATTTAATAACTTTTTAAAGATATCTTCCAAGTGTGTATGTGCGTGTTTATATGTCATATATACGCATACATGCGTGTCTGCGTATTTGACAATATTGAATAAGGTTCTGCTGGCCTGGCCTCTCTTTTGGCCACACCTCCTAATCATCCAGGGTTTGGGGTGGAATAATGAGCCGCTGATGATTATCCCAGTGGGATCCCATGCAGTGTTCTGGCCACTCTGTCACTTTGTGTTCTCACCCTTTTTTATTGACAAATTTCCAATCATAGTAATCCTGGGCGCCCCTTGAAATCTACCAAGGGAACCTGCTTTCTGCAGAGTGCCGTTCGGTGGGCTGGAGCGGAGACACAGCAGCTGTCAGGACCCTGGCAAGATGGGTGAGATGCTGGGTCTGGGCAGTGAACACGGGGGACCCCCGACAGGCGTCTGTCAGGGCCGTTACTCTCTCGTGCTTAATGGTATCCTCGTGTCACATAACAATGTCACTCATTGATATTGTTCAGCTTTTCAAACTGGCCGTATAATTTTCTCCAGTATCTGTTGGTGTAGGCTGCCTGTCCTACAGTGGAGAAGCTTCGGATTGAGAAAAGCACAATTTAAACTGAATTTGTATTTGTATGTGAAATGTGAAACTCACAGAGACATACGCATCTGGTTACTTTACATGGTCATCTAACAAATGCGTGTGTGGCTGCTCATTGTACATATACAAACGGACATAGTTAATTTACAGATAGATGTTTAATCCTTGCCATCAGAATGTTTATCTCTTTGGCTGCTGTTGGCTGCTTTGACTTCAAGGCCCGGATTACCCTGCTGGTTCTGCCTTAACTGCTGTACCAAAGCCCTCTGCTTCACTCTGCATGTGTTTCTTCCTCCTTTCAGGGGTCATATTATGTGAGAAAAGTAGGATTTTTTCATCATTGTAACATTCATTCCCTCTGCTGCCTGGGATAGGCTCAAGGCCTTCATGTAACCCTGAGCAGGATAATTTAATGGATGTATGGATGGATAGATGGATAGATAGATGGACGGACAGACGGACTCTGTAACAGATAATTACAAAAATGACATTTGGAAGCTAATTTTATAAAACCTTTGAATGCCTCGAAGAAAATTAGAAGGTTAAGATTCCAAAATATTGAACTAGGAGTACTTGTATTGCTTTCTAGAATGTTCTAAAGTGTAGCTGTGTTCATGCTCACTTCTGTGTGTCTGGTATGAAATGTCACAAATGCTTATTTTTTTACACAGCAGGAATGATCTGTGACTAGAATGATGTGTAACAAACAAATAAATCATGTAAAACACACCCTTCGGCACGTGTACATTGTCTTGTGTCGGGGGATATTGTAAACACTTGAGGTATTGCACCAGCGGGTGGTTGTCTGTCTGCCCCTTGTTTACCACGGTACTGACTGTCTTGTCAACAGAGCTGCAGGCAGATTTCATGTCGCTTGTTTGCAAATGTCAGTCTCAGGGTATCATTTCACGGCACGTCCATGACGTTTTCATAGTCACTGTCAGAGGAGCAGTCTGGGTCCTGGCTCACAGATGTTCGCAGGGGGGCTATATCCCAGCCCACATTCTGGTAGTCATCCTCTGAGGAAGTGCTAGAATTCTCTGGAAGAGGAACGACAATCCAGTATCAGGCTGGAGCCCCATAAATCTTCCCATCTTGGAAATGGAACAAAACCACTCAAGGAACTGGGAGAAGTTGCTCTTAACAGATATGTTTCTTTGAAAAGGCATAAATTTCAATATTGACATGTCACCAAATTAAAGCTGCACTGTTTATTGTTTAAATAATCAGCAATTAAAAAACTGAAAATCAGTTTAACACCTGCTCCTTCCTGCCATATTTGTTTCTTGCTAAGAACCAGGCAGAAAACCGCAGTGGTAAATTAAAATAATTGGCATATTAATTGACAGGTTTAAAGCCAGAGTATTACGAATGCGTCAGAAGGGACCGGGATCACGCTCAAGTTCCAGTCGTGTTTTCCATCACTCAAGTCGGCACGGCATCGGCCCGCCGGTCCTTTGGCTCGCAAGGGCTCGGGTGCCAGGACCATAAATTACCAGGACTCCACGGAGCTGCTGGGATGGGGTCACCACGGTCTCCGGGGTCACCACTGCCCGCAGGGCATGGGGAGTCGATGACGGGAGGCATCATCGAGTTCTCAGGGGCCGAGACGTCACCATGGCCTTGGGGAAGAGAGAACGAATTCTGAGTGAAATGCACAGGAGATTCTCTGCTGTATTTGTTAATCACCCACGGGCTGCTCCTTAGAACGCCGGTGTAGGGAAGCCAAAGTCAATCGCATACAGAATTAAGCAGCAGTCAGCAGTGTGGCTGTGTGTGTTTGGAGCCACTGGGGACAGGGGGGCAGACCTTGTTTGAGTAGCTCCTCTGCGTTAGGCCCGGTGTTCTTGTACTCTTCTCCAGATGACGTGCTGGAGGAATCGTGGTCAAGCAGGTTCACTGTGATGTAATGAGAAGGGGAGATGGATCCAGAATAATACCGGCACTTTTTTGTGCATAGTTACCTAATAGTGCAGTGGGGGTTTATCCAGAATGGCTGATACACCCATGTTTGCATTTAATCAATGACAGTAGGGCTACAGAGGCTCAGAGCATCCTCACCGTTTGCTCTGGTGTCGCATTTCTGTTCGGTGTTGATGTAGCTCTCTCCAGACGATGTACTCGAGCTGTCTTCGTACGCTGCTTGTTGATGTGGAGGAGAGATCGGGCTCTCGGGACAGCTGGCTGGAAAATGAGTTTTAACACATCAAAATCCAGCTCCAGGTGAAGCTAACCTTTACTGCGTTTGTGTGTGTTTGATGTGGAGGGGCTGTTCTTGAAGCTGTCTTTGCACTACTTTGTAAGTTGAGTCATTCCTTACCCTGTTCTTCAAGGCAGTGAAAAGCTGGCTTTTGCATCACTGCACTGCTTTGCACAGTTCCGCCACGTACAGAGTCTGAAACAGAGGATGTCTTTCATTTAGTCGAATTATTCAGTTTAACTATTCAGTTTTTCTTTTGATTCAATTTTTAAGGCACTTCAGATTATATTACTGTCTATCAACTAGGGATGAGAATTATAGTCATTTTTAGGGCTCACTTATCTGACAAAAAACAAGTGCTAAGTATTTAAGTGCTCATGGGAGGGTGGAGCAGAATAAGAGAGAGAGAGTTGGGGTTTAGATAACATGGTTACGGTGGTCACCTACGTCAAAAGAAATTGATGCAATGGTATGTCTGTGCAGGGAGCCCGAGGCAAACATTCTCATTGGTTATGATTCCACTCACTGCCCACGACTGGCTGACATAATGCGACGCCACGGGGTTGGTCAGCAGGACTAATCACACAGTTACTGAGATGCTCTGCACCGCACCGTTCATCTTTTAATAGTGTAAATCAATATGTGTATTCATGTATTTATGTTAATAGTAGTGATGTAGTCAAAACCACCTATTCTGAGACCAAGTCATTACCAAGACCAGAGTGTATCGAGACTGAGACAAGACCAAGACCAAAGCAGGGCTAGACCAGTTCAAGATCAGAAACAGACTAGATCGAACAACACATTTAATGTGGAGCATAGGCACCATCTTGGGGCATGGCAATATGGCCTAAATTTTGCGTCAAGTATAATTCGAACGATGGACATTTTTTTTCTTAAAATTTCAATAAAAATGCTTCTGTACAGATGTAACATCCTCTCGACTGCAAAAATATGTGAATAATGTCTATGCGTTATACCAATCCAAAGTTACAAGCCTGAGCTTAATGGGTGCGAAAATAAATGCATTTTGCGTTTGCCGGGTTCTCGGATAACAAACACGTACCCATTCCTATATCAACCTCAATGTGCTATTTTCGTGAGCATTTTTTTACTTTTCCCAGACCCCGAAAGACCTGTGTTTGGTGAAATACAGGCATTGTCTCACTCTTATAGGATGCCATGGCAACTGCAGGCTCCAGACTGAAATCAAAGTGTTCGTATTCTGAGTTGTCCGACGTCGAGGCGTCAGCGCTGGCCTGGGCTTGCAGCCTCCTAGGGATTGGCACGCCTGTGGGCAGCGAAAACGAGGCATGCTTTGGTGACGGGCAAAGAGGTCGGCAGCTGGGAAGTCCGTCAAGGCGCCATTTGTCTCGTCTTTGCACGTGTGGTACTGACCCCCGTTGACCACGCCGCTGGGGGGGCTGTCGGCTGGGGCGTTCATCTGAATGATGCTGTTTCTTTGATGCTCTTCATGCTGTATGGGTGCTGGCAAGCCGGAGTTTGTCTTCAGGATAGCAAACACTGAGGAGGAAACATAGACATCAGACTGTTCACACAAAACAGCTACAACCCATCTCACACTATCTCACAGTGCAATAGACTTCGTATTCACTAAAAACACACGTATCTCCTTATTGTGATCTTCCGTCTCTTGCAGATGCAGGACTGATTCAGAATATCCTTCCTCATAATTTGAAAAAACTTAGCATTAATTATTTTGTCTCTGTACTTGTTCCATGTCAGAGTTGTTAACACAAAATTAGCTGTAGCTACATGTCGAAGTCCATAGTTATGAAATAAATATAAATAAAAAATTAAATAAGGAACAATTTTTTAAAATCTATTTTGTCCAAAGAAGCCGCATGTAGACATCTGGGCTAAAACCTGCTTATCTGATACATTCTGAACATGAGGGAGGTCAGTCACGCAGCAAAGTAGAACGAGGAACAGCCACAAGCACAGGTTGCATGTTTTACGGTGCAAACCCGTGATGCTCCCCCGATCCCCCTTACCGTCGGGGGGTGTCAATGTGGAAACAAAGCAGGAAAACAAAGCTGTGTCAGTCTGGAATGCTGGTTATGTGTTCTGCCCATGTGGGATGTGGGGGCGGTCCCGACCCACTGGGCTACCACCTGGTTCTCTGTGTTTGGATAAGGACCGGAGTCACATGACCTTTCGAGCTGCATGTCGAATGGCCCTAACGTTGTAGTTTTGCAGAGAAGCATGTATCAGCAAAAGGAGGCAGAGATGATGTTTTGTGTGGAATGGCTGCTCACCGTGCCCATTCCTATAATACCGGCAGAGCGCGATGTTCACAGCTGGAACCATCAGGAGAATGAGAGTCAGAACGATGCAGCCGGTCACTGCGGGGGGCAGTCTGGCCAGGGCTTTTGTGGTCATGACCGTGCTCTCCATAACTGCAACACATGAACTCTTTAGTGGGTCCAAGTCTGTGCCTCATCTGCAACAACACTGGAATTAAGCAGAGCAGTATTTCCCAGTCCGGTCCTTTGGGACCCACAGCCGGCCCACGGTTTTGATCCCTTCCAGCTCCTGGAGGGAGCAAAAATATGGAGTGTCTGAGTCCCCAAAGATCGGATTGGGAAACACTGAAGCAGAGAAACAGCAACTTGGCCATGTGCACTTTCACCTGTGGTCAAGGTGGGGCTGTCGGGCATCTGTGTCATGTTGGCCGTAGTCGAATAGGGATGCTTTGATTCTGCAACAGCAGACATGGGTAGAGTCATCGGGAGACAGTTGCAATGTTGCCTGTTGGCACAGGCTGTTAGAGGCGTTTAATAAACACTGATTATGCCCCTGCTGGTGAAGAGGCCAGCTGTGCATGTGAAGTCTTAAATACTCAGGTATTGTTCACTAATTATGTATTTGCTTGAGATGAATCATACATCGGCGCCATGCACTTAGCAGAGGTGAGGATTACCTGAGCACACGACTCCTGCGTCCTCTTTATGGCCACAGAACTGTTCGTGTGTCTCGAAGGGGCACTGACGCAGCTGCGTCTCGTTTCCGGAACACTTGACCTCAGCCATGGTGATGCGTCCCTTGCCTGGCCCAAAGGACTCCCTCTCGCCCGTCGCATCCACAGCAACGCCGCATCCCAGCTGCGCGCAGACCACCCGCGCATCCTTCTCATCCCACCCGTCGTCACACACGGTGCCCCAGGTCCCGTTCTGCCATATCTCCACCCGCCCTGCACAGTGGTCCGAGCCTCCCACCAATCGGACGTCAGCGTGCCCTGAGTGACACACGGACCCACCAATGAGGTGGTATCCCTCAAAATGATCCAACAAGGTATCTTTTTTAAAATGCAAACTCACAACAGGTGATGTTGGACACTTCGGTGCAGACACTCAGCGAGCCCCCCTTGCAGAGCAGCTGGCCGTTCCCATAGCTGCAGCCTATCAGACAGAGGGTGTCGGGGGCCACTCTGCCCCGGGTGACCTCATACACCCCCCCGCAGACTGTCCTTGCTGCCGCCTTCGTGTCCTCGGTGGAGAGTTGCACTGTGGTCCAGTTTCCGTGGTGAAACACCTCCAGGATCCCAGAGTAGTTGCTGGACAGTCTGGGTGTATAACCCACTGAAAAGGGGAGGGAGTGGGAGACACACAGGAACTGTCACACCTTCCTGTTTGACTGTCATTATGGGGACATGATGGGGACATTCTGGGGACCTGACGGGGACATGATGGGGACCTGATGGGGACCTGACGGGAACATGACGGGGACATGATGGGGACATAATGGGGACCTGATGGGGACATGCTGGGGCAGGGGTGGGGGGTTATTCTATGTTGGTCTCCTTGGTTACAGGCATCTGATATATTACAGAGAATGTCTCCCTATGAGGCATGCAGTTCCCCCAGCAACGCTGAATTCCTGAGGCAGCAGGGTTCCTGAGAGCGAGGGGGGGCCCGGCGGCTGCGGCCCGCGCTGCTCGATGCACCGAGCACGGCACCCCTGCATGCTGCAAGGGCCCATCTGCGTCGCCACCACATCCTGTGACTCATTTCCTCTGGAAATGTCAGACGTTCCTTTGTCTGCGGGTCGGAGCAGTTTTTAGAACAGCAAAGCCCACCCCTCCACCCCGATGCAAACCATGTGATCCGCGTGGCACGGAGGTCACACAGTCGTAGGCTGGTGGCGGTGAACTCAGATTTGTATTCATGAAAGCTGGGAAGTTTATTCTCACCATGAAATTCTCAGAAAAACTATGATTTTTTTTTTATTATTCCTTTTAATGATTCCAGATGAGTGATGTATCCATGACAGCCGTGTACGGCTCACAAACGAAGGGTGTCGTTCAGACTAATAGTGCACAGATCACAGGGTTCTACAGGTGTATCTAAAAACCATCACATATGCCTCATTCCCACCAACATGGAGCCGGGGCTGTGCTGGTTCTCACTCGGCGCCTTTCGAGAACCTGCCCGCATTTCCACCACTTTCAAAAATGAATGTAGGTGGAAGTGAGAGTAAGGTAAAGGCTCATATGTATTCCGTTTTGTTGGATTTATTTTTATCTGTTTCGGATTTTAAGTTTTCATAAGCTGCCAAACGAAACAAAGCCTTCAGGGTATGACTCGTTGCGCCCAGTCTGTACTGCCTGTATCCAGTTTTGTCTCGTTAAAGGCTTCCCTGTCTGTGTGCGTAAGTGAGTTTATTCATTGCGTTACCGCTGTCCTTTTAAGGATCGCGCAATAAAAGAGACTCTGCCAATAACTGAACTTTGCTGTGCTCCTCATGATCTCTTCACCTCTCAAGTGCCACAGTATTTTATTTATTAGACCTGTGGCCTGGTTTTAATTTACAGTGCAAAGTTACTCCGCTAATAAGCTGTCTAGCTGTTTCACTGCCGTAACCGGCGATATCACACAAAACTATATCGGCTATGGACTAAATTTTCCGGGGATGCAGAGGGTTTGAGAGATAGCCTGTCCCACTTTCTCTGACATTACGGGCACTAATTTCCTTTGTGGAGGCCCATAAATGTTTAAGTAAACAAACAAAAAATGTTGCATCTTATTGCTGTTACCTTATAAATGTTACTAGATGAACTGTTGTATATAAGCAATAACATTCTCAAAGCTGTGTGGTTCAACTCCAGCACATCACAGCTATGACTCTGCGGTCCTTGGTCTGTGGTCTCCTGCCAGGATGTATTGGAGTACAACCACGCCACTTTGAGTATGTTATTGTGTAAATAAAAACTGACTGATTGCCGGCATTTTTATAAAATTAGTATTGCAGGCATGACGACTAAACACCCAGATACACGGAGGGACCGCCGACAGCATGATCTCTTTCCGGAATCTTCTGCACTCGCACCATGCAGCTTGGCTAGGCAGACCCTAGGCAGACCCCCAGTACCTCACTGAGGGGTCACAGGTCTGGCTGTCAGAACCCTGAGCATGACATCAGGCCTCAGACCTTCAGACCTCAGCTAGTCTAGCATGTGACTCACGTCACATATATCATTTACACATAAGAAACAAGCTGCAACCAGATACTTAATTGCTGCTGTGATGCTTTAGGGTGGGTGGGTTAGGTTTTTTTTATCAACTTGTAAATGCTGTTGATAGCCAGAATCTAGACTGGGATTATTATAGATAACAGCTGTAATCAAGGACGTTCGTTCCTTAGAAAACATTATTCAGTTAAAAATAAGAAATGTTACAGAGGTACTGTATGTATACTACAGTTACACCATTTCAGAGGTGAAGCGACCAGACAGGCAAGGAGGCCGACTGCCGGGGGGGCGTGAGGGCAGCCGATTAGACAGAGCGATGCAATGAAAAATCTGCCGCCTTTGTGTATTCTGCTTTTCACAAAAGCACTAGTGTTTATTAAATTCTCCTACTTAGACTTCACACTAAAATAATGGTAATAAGTTTTACTATGTCGGGGGAGAGTGAGCTGGAGAGCCTCTAAAATTGCCTGTGCGCCATGTTAATGTGAAATTAACTATTAACAGGACAAGTATACATTTTGCGCAGCTTCCGCAAGCAGAATGCAGCTTATGTTACACGGTGGTGATCTGTGCTCCTGCGTCGGTGTTGTGGATGAGCTGGATACGTCACAGGACAGGAGATGGCCTCATCTGGATACATTTATAATTATGAGGCACAATTGGCTTTATCTTGTTTTTTATCTGTTAATCTTTTATTCTGTTTTCCTGTTGCACCAGGGCTTGTTTCTGTGGTAACAGGGGTGACAGCTTCACAGAGATAATGGCTGTATGACCAACAGGAGGACATAGAGTTTTTCCATCTATGGTTAAGTGTTTCACCTCGGTGCCTCTGTTTGGGTTCCGCACGAGTTTGAACAAACAAGTCCAGAGGCGACACGTGCGGCGAAGTATCACTAAGCACGTGTGCTTTTAAGTTAGTGAGGCTCTTTAAACTCACCCGGGGGTGCGGCCGATGTGTTGGTCGCTTCCGTGCCGTTCGAGAGCTTATCATGTTGCTTTTCGGGTGGGGTGCCGATCCCTGCGGGGTGACAAACGGCCAGACAGTCCGTGTTAAGAGGCAGCACCGTCCTCCGCGCCGCGTCAGGTCTGCCAGCACCATGGCAAATGCCGATGAACATTTTAATAAATTTTTTTTTTACCACAGACATGGTATTTAAACACATAGCCTACATAGTTTTTTTTTTCCAAGGAAAACATTTTGCCACAGACACAGACGAGTCACATCCTACAGCAATACCATTCAGTTAGGGGCAGCGTGTGGCTCCGTGGGCTAAGCCTGTGTGCTTGTAATCAGGTCGCCGGTTCAAACCCAGCCTCAGCATGTCTGCAGGTCCTTGAGCAAGGCCCTTAACCCCCAGTTCCCTGAGCGCTGCTATGGGTGGCTGCCCTTCACAGCCAGCTTGCTTACAAAGAGCAAGTTGAGGGAGGTGTGAAGACAATTTCCCCACAGGGATTAATAAAGTGATGATTATTATTATTACTACTTCATGGTCACCTGGAGTTTTACCTGTAGTTTGACCTTTAGTACGGTCATGGTCACCTGGAGTTTTACCTGTAGTTTGACCTTTAGTAC